CTTTTTAATAGTTGAGATAGAATCGTAGTTTTCTGGATGATGTATTGATATGTTACGGTATTAATATCATAGGTGACCAATTACTCCTTAATTTTGGCGCGAAATTTCAGCGTTAATTTGTAATTTCACATGTGAAATTACAAAATTGCCATGGCAACCCTTCCGTACGTCTCAGTGTCAAGATGGCGACGAAGTTTTAAAACGCCATGAATGAAAATGTCAGGGCACAAAAGGACGCTTTAGAAAACCTGAACACACAAGAGAACATCAAGGAGGATTCTAACAGGTATTTTCCCGAAAAAGTCTAAAAAATTCTGAACTTTATAAGCCAAATTTAAGGTCTAAACATTTGAGAGAGCAGAGTTTGCGATCGATAAGATCCAGTATAAACATGTCAAAAATCCAAGATTGCTAACGTTCGTCACCCATGATATTAATAGGTAATCAAATGGTATACTCGTGAAATTAGGGAATAATTTCCCTTGCGTTTTGTCCAAATACTAATAATTTCCCGAGCCTTTCTAAAGAATCGGGGAATTATACACATACTAATTAAGTAGGTTACCGAGTTATACGGAATTCTTTCTTATAATCCTCGAACAAACGCCGTAATTTTTCTTCCATCTGCGGCGTTTAATCGAGAGGATTCTGTACATCAAACGACAAAAACAACGGGCTAAACAGGTTTCAAAAATCCCGATTGCAATCCGTTTCAATTTAAACTTTCTTCACTCTTGCCCCTCAGTGCTATTTTGCACTCGCGCCGCTCGCACCCGGCTTCGACAGATTCATAAATAATCATGATATTTAAATGTGTCTTGTGTGTGTCCACTCTTGGCACTTTCTAAAAAGGCAGAAATTAAAGAAAAGCAAGGCATTTTTCCACGTTTGTTTCATTGCGATACAGTCGTTAAAGAACCATTTTCTCAAAACAGCTCAGTGTCCAAGTTTACTACCTTAAAATCTTGTTACAATTACTATGAAAAAATAGAACTAAAACTAGTGTGACAGAATTTTAAAACCTTAGCCTCAAAATAAATTGACAATATTTCAATTCGCTAACTTAAATTTAGGTCAACTAAATGTCTTGCTAAATTATCTGAACTAAACATATTTTTTCTGAAAGTGACCGAGATGAGATTGGAAAATGTTCGTGTAGATGGAGCAAACCAAATCTTTCTCGCTACTTTCACATTACTCTTAACTTCTTTGCCGTTAATTCCAAGAAAATTTATGTCAAATTCGCTTTTCTCCAAGGGTTCATGGATTTCTCCGTTTACAATCATAGGCTCACGAGGAATGCTGGGAATTTTCACTTCAATTCCGTGTTTGAGTAAAAGGTCATCATCTTCTTCAAATCCTACATTGTCTGGAAAACCATCAAGCTCTACAATCTTCAGTAGAACGAGAAAAAAAAAAAACACGAAAAAAACACAAAACAAAGGAATGAGATTTGTTAATCAGCCCTAATAATAATAACAATAACGATAATAATAATAATAATAATAATAATAATAATAATAATAATAATGGCAATGTTTTTGTCATTATTATTACTATTTTATTCAGTAATGATAATGATGATGATAATACTGAAAATGATAATGAGAATGAGAGTAACTCAAGTTAACTAAAGCATGGGTCTCCACTTATTCAGTGAAAAATTGGGGGGGTAGTCTTTCTTTCAAAGCTTTTGCGGTAGCAGCTTGAAACTTGGTCAGACAAGCACACTTTTATTTTTTGCCAATTTGTTCAATTTTGCATTATTTTAAGGCCTTCGGGTATATCATTTAACATATTAGGGACCTTTGGCATCAGGTTTTTCATGGGAAACTGCAAACCGGAAACCGCAAAATGTCACGTGACTACGGCCTTGAGGTCACGTTTGCAGTTTGCAGTTCACGTTTGAACCGCAGGAGGGGCTTCCAGCGGTAAGTGATTTACGGGAAGGTTTTTTGCCACAAAAAATTGTACAGCCTCGAGTTTAAATGTATGAATTGAACTAGCTTTTTATATCCGTTTGCGATGTGTTTGTTGGATTTTTGATCTCGCATCAATGAATTATTGCTGAGTTTTGGGCGATTAAAGTGATGCACTTCGACTTGATGAAAACAACATGGCGGCCCTAAACAATTAACGCGTAGTTCAAATCAATTTTATATTCCTTTCTGCCGTACCAACAAAGGAAAGTATTCTGTTCTAATCCAGAGTTAATTTTTTTTTCTATCTTGTTACTGAATTCATAACTTAACTCAGTCTCTGTTTAGTTCCTATTTTTAACGTATCATCCGCGAATTTCATTTTGTTTTGCTTATTTCTTTGAGACTAGGGAGCCCAGGCTTCATAAAGCCTTCTGGTTTCTTCTGGGCTCCCTTGCAACCTTACAATTCCTATATCTATTCTTGTATTGTATTATATTTTGGCTAAATAAAAATGAACTGAACTGAACTGAACGCCTTGCTAAAGTTTGAAATCTCGGCAACGCGAAACTGCAGACGCGTAACTGCGGTTTGCGGTTTGCGGTTTGCGGTTTGCCTGATGCTAAATGTCTCTATTGTAAAGGAAAAGTGTGATTAAAGGAACCACTTGAAATGGGGGTACTGAGCACTAGTCAGAAAAACCGTTTATCTACAAAAGTAATTACATATTCAAATGTTGCCAAGCACAATTTTGTAGTTCTTTATATTGTAAGTTGTCTTGTAGCAATTAAGTTGGATAACTTCGAATCTAAACGGCTGACATTTTTACTTAAAGATTTTTTGGGAGACTGTGGCCGTAGGAGGTCATGTGACGTATTTTACATAATGTTCGTTTGATGAAAAGTATAACTTTTCGAGAAATCTCATGTCTTACACAATTCACAGCTTCATTACGAACGAACCCCTCAGTTTTTAGTGAAAATAGCTTTTGATCCATGCATCTTTTTACTTGAGAATAAAAACGGTAATGGAAAGATGGCTTATGAATTGACAGGGAGTTATATTTATTGCCCGGAAGGATTCGGAGCTTTTGGTATCTGATCTGACGTAAAGTACGTAAAAAGAAAATGGTGAAGAATTTTGTTTGTTAAAATGCTTAATTGTTATGTGAAATTCGGTCTTAGCATGAGAATCATATCGATGATGATAATAATGATGTTACTGACGATGATAGTGATGATGATGATGATGGTGATAGTATACTGGATCAACAGAGCGTTGTTAACTGATAGAAGTCGGAACTCTTGGTAGGGATGTGAAACAAAAACACGTTTTTCATGTCACCGTACATGAAGTAGTCACTTTGCTCAGGAGATTCGTGGTTGTCAAAATGCTCGTAACGTGGAACGTCTATGATCTTCATTTTTGGACTCATAAACGGGTGGTTACTGTTATCAGAAGGCAAACCAATGAAACAGTCGAACTCCTCCAATTCCCCACAGTACCCTGTATCCTTGAAGAAGACATCATGGAGTCTTTGCCGTTTGCTTCGAAAGACAATTGGTTTTCGGGCACCATTTTCCTTTAACAACTTCTTTTCTGTCGTGATGTACTTCTCGACGTCCCTGTCGCACATGAATTTTAACTTGACAATTGCTTCGTACTGCTTCTGAACTCTGTTAAAATCTCCAACATAACAGGCGATTACTTCGTTCTGTTCATTTACAACTCCCGTACTGACAAAGTTGTGGAGGGCAGTAGGATCAGTAACCTTGAATATAAAGCAGAGATGAAAATAGCAAAGTTGGTTATAAATCACTGATCAAGAGAGGATAATGGGGACAGAGAAGGCATCCGCCATACACACCCTATTCCATAGGTAATTCGTCTCGAGTTATTTTTAAGGCCATAGATCCCAGGGGGGAATAGACAACAGCTAATCACATAGCGCGAATGTGTTCCGCGTGGATGACCCACGCTCAAAGCCACCCGTCCTTCACGAATTGACGCTGAAAAAAATGGCGGAAGACGCGGAGAGCGATATTGCTATTTGTTTTGTCCACGAAAACTACTGAAGAGAGACTTCTGCTAAAGCTGTGTCAGCGAAACGGAAATTAAAAAAGAATCGCCCTTCCTCTCTTGTATAGAGCTAACAGTATAGCAGGGAAATCCTTAACACACTGAATATTCTCTCAGGATCATTTATAATTTACAGTTTGAAGAGAGCAATTTCTGGTTTGATATTTATTCTTTTATTATTCTTTTATTAGTCTTTTATTATTCAGCGAAAATAACACTTAGCGTCCTACTTGCTTTATTATACAAACGACCGGTTTCGATAGACCGGCGAAATTTCTCATTTTATTAAAGCACTGAGGTTACGACAACTTCGACTAAAACTGGTTTCACGGGTTGTCAAAGAGTCCAGCGATTCCCTTTTCCCAGGTAAGCGCCGACTCATTTCGCTTCAATATTCAGAAATGCCCTCGATCTCTTTACACTTTCTTTGCCTTTCGCTCGAAACCTCCACGAAACATCCACGCAGCGCGCGAGGTAACTTTATCCCGATTCTAAAAATAACTCTAGACGAATTACCTATGGAATAGGGTGTGTATGGGGGATGCCTTCTCTGTCCTCTTTATCCTCTCTTGTCATTGATGTATTAAGGGCATTCTACTTTTACTTAAAATCAAAGGTTTTTAAAAATTAAATTAGCCCTTACCCTTCCAATTGCACACAAAATAGTGTTCCTCATGACAGATGACACGTGGTCCATGAAATCTAAAGATGTGACCCAGGGATCCATGCAAGTTGTTATGATATATTTGACTGGTGTGTCGTCGTTTGAGTTAAGCTGAATAAAAAAAGAAAGAAAGAAAGATGTGTAGATTAGTGCATATAGCAGTTAAGACACGCGTAATTCTGCCTCACTTTTCATGGCTGTGGTCAAGAAAAACCATCGATAATTTTCAGTTATCTGAATGGTCCCGGATATATCACGTGATCTTTTAAAATATAAATTGAATTTCGAAAAGGAAAGAGCATCGAGAAGGTTTCTCGTTATACCAGATTTCGATTCTTGCTGTTCTCTCTTACCCCTAATCTTGTCTTGAAATTTGTGGCTGCAACACTGTGGACGTGGGACACCAGACTTGACGAGGTAACAAGCATTGGGATGCGAAACGCTGTATGTTCCCCTGATGTGTGAGTGAGGCTTTCGAATATCGCTGTGTTGATTGCATTGCACACTTCAACGCTTTGGTTTCCTTTCAGGTTTACAGCGAAACACGGTATCAAGGTATCAGGACCCACTTCTTTTAGGTAAAGCATAGCTTTATCATCCTAAACGACAGAGAAGATAAAACAGTACTTAACTTTGTTGCTGTGTGTTATCAAAGAGTTGCTTCGCTGTCAATGATAAAGTAAAAAAATTGTCACCGCAAGCAAATTCAAAAGCTGACGTCAGTTAGTGTGCTATTGTTCCGTTTATAACAAAGGGCTTAAATAGTACCCGGAACGTCTGCTTTGATCAAAAGCTGACGTCAGTTAGTGTGCTATTGTTTCGTTTATAACAAAGGGCTTAAATAGTACCCGGAACGTTTGCTTTGATGAAACTTTCATTAGACCATTTTAGCTTGTAAGTTTTGTTTTCCCTTTCAGACCACGTGATGATGTTCGCCTGGAGATTTTCCTTTTTGTCTTTTCATAAATCATGGATACATTTGCACCTGGGTGCACGTGCATCGGACGACGTTTGAAAGAAACAATTCTCTTAGGTACGATCACGTGGTCTGCAATTGGAAAACAAAACATAAAAGCTAAAAACGGTCTATTAATCAATCATCGTTTGGCCCTAAACTTCTCAAATCCGATTGGCTGGCAAAAGCCTGGTCGGACCTACACCTGTAACTAGTAGCCAGTTAAGGTCGTGAACGGCACTCAGAAAGAGTTCCTTGTCTATTCCCTACATGTATTTTTCCATTATGTTTTCTTAGAATAGGGAGTCATTCAGCAGCAGAGTTATATATAAAAGTTATTAATGGAATCACTGTAGTAAATTAGACTGATGTTATTGGGCTGTAAAAAACCTCCTACTATTTAATTACTCTTGAATGATAACTCTGACTTGTAAAATACTACTTACGGAACGCTTGCGAGTGGTATATCGTGAAATATCCCACTGGTGCCTTGATTTCATATAAACAAGCTAAAAGATTTACCCGAGCAATTTCTTCGTTGCTTTTTCCGACAATTCGTTCTCTAATGAATGTAATATGATCCTCCTCTGACCAGTTAGTCAAACTGGGTAGAGGAATCGTCGTTTTGATGACAAAAATGTCGTCTTCTTTGGCCAGCGTTGCCCACTGACAGTACAGGATCTTTGCGTTGAACATGCACTCAGCCAGGATACGACCATAACCGTTTTTGTGAAGACCAATGACCTACGAAATGAGGAAAACGATATTGAAGAACACTAAGTAAGCTTTATTCATTCTATAAGCAATTGGCAGGAACAATAGTCGACTAATTTTTCTTTTAAACATAAATTCTGAAGTACAAAAATTAAGCTTTGATGGACTTTGATAAATTTTCGAATTCAGTTTACTGTTTCCGTTTCGAACGGAGCAACCAGACCTGAGGGTCAGAAAAAGGCCTCGCTACTCATATTACTTGACTTTTTCGCATCCATATTGACAAATTTCGAGCTTACTTACCCATATCTGTGCATTTCATAAACTGAAAACCTTCGCCTCTTCCACCGTATTCATAGAATGAACCCAGTACTATAAGCATCAAGCTCACTTGTTGTTTCCAGAAGAGACTGTGATATCACACATGAACCAGAAAAAATAACTTGGTGTTTTGTCGAAAAGTAGTCGTAATAATTGGGCTGTCTTATATAGACTTTTTTTAATTTACTACTAAAAGAAAAAGATTCATAAATGGTTACCCTGTTTGCCATCATGACCCCTACAGCAGCTGCCCCGGGTTTGGATCCCTCGATACCGACATCACCGAGAATCATTTTTCCATGGTAGTAGAGCACTTTAGTGGTGATTGACAGAAATGAGTTCATCCTTCTGTCTCTGTAACAGATTGCACCGCCTGGATAAGGACAGAAGCCAGATTTGTGGGGATCAACAGTGATTGTATCACAGTGGTGGAGAGCTGACAACTGTTCGTGGACGTAGGAACTCAGGTACATTTCTGGAACAAATCCTGTTTCTTTGGCTGTTGGCATAGGACTGCTCTCCGGCTGCGCCCGTAGCATACTACAGAAATATCCTCCCCAAGCTGCATCCGCGTGAATGCTGAAGTTGAGACCCTTGATATGAACAAAGTCATGGGTTTTTAAAACAGACATTTCTTCAAAGTAATACCTAATTTATGGCATAAATATTTTAGGAAAGTGGCGCCAGGTAAAAAGAGATCTATATAATTATTACACTGCCGAAAACGGTGGATGATAGTGATCACGATGAAGATACAAGTGATGATTATGATGATGATGATGATGATGATGATGTTGATGTTGATGATGATGATGAGTTTGATGGTTTTGACAGTGTAGGAAATTTTAGATATGAAGTCAAATACAGTTATCCTTACCTTCATTCTAAACTTTTCGCGCAAATAGACAACCGCAGTTACTGGATCAACGGCGCCTTGCTCTGTTGTTCCTGTGACAGCTACTACCGTTATGACTGGAATTTCCTTATCCAATTTTTCTTTTAGAATGCGGTTCAAATCTTAAATTTCATAAAAAATAAATGTTATCTTTCAATGAAAAACAACTCTGATGGTCACAAACAAAGAGTAAGTAAATGTAATTTACTTCCATATATAACTCACAACTTGGTTAATACGCATTTTGTTAATGTTAATTAAATACACGTTACAGTTATTTGTTCTGTTTCCGTTTTCTGTTTTTTTGTTGTTGATTAAAAAAAAAAGTTGGGGGCTAAATGAAGACAAAGGACAGAAACTATACCAACCAATAGGGTCCATCCGCGAGTTTTCGTCAACTGCTACAGAAACAAGGCTCTCTCGACCAAGTCCAAGGATTGTGGCTGCTTTCGTTAAGGAAATATGTAATGTGCTTGGAACAACAATGCATGGACTTTGGGTTAGCATATGTCGCCTTGCAAACTCCTGTGTTCCAATGGACTCATAAAGGTACTTGGACATTATTTCCATAAATTCATGATGTTCGAGGCTTGTCAAAGCTTGTACTTCTGAAGGCATTTGTAAGATAGTGCCGACATCAAGGTTAAGGAGTTCCCACTGTGAAGCGCTGATTAATTCTTCTTTTTTTCCTCTCTGAGGCAATAAAACCTGACCGGAGAAAAATAAAGTTAGAAAAAAATATGGATCCGTCACTAAACACTCACTGACTGTTCACGAAGCGGGACATAGTTAATTCTCTTTGCCAGGAAATAACAAAAAAATTCTCGATGTTTCTCTGGTTGAATCTAGACAAGATTTTTAAGCTGCAGAAAAAGACTTGTCCGGATCATGCTGTTTAAAGAGTATAATCATGTGTCCAACTCTTTATTTTAACAATTTAATACTCTCAATACTTAACAAATGAATAAATTTTGTTGTGGATTGTCTAAAACATCAGTCCTCACAAAATCAACTTCCTGGAGCGTTAACAGATTTTTTTAAGAAAAATAATGAAATCCATGGTCATAACACTCGTTTACATGAACTTCTACATAAACCCTTGGGTAAAACAAATGTACGAAAATTTACTGTTACAGACAAGGGGTTAGATATAATTTATAACAGCTTGACGGATGACATAAGAGAAAGAATATTTATCACGAGTGAAGAGGTAGAATGAAACAGTGATTCCACAATGTAATATTTTATATATATTCGATGTAAGCACATACATAGTATTGATGATGTAAAACCTTATTTCCTAGCCAAAATCGTCTATGTCATCAAATGAAATTGGTGTAAATTGACAGGGAGTCTCCTTGATAAGCCCAAAAAGGCTTCTGAGAAGTTCCTGTTCAATATTGTAATTATTTCTTAAGTACTATCAAAACATTGTCACCTTATATACAATGTTGAGCAAATCAATAAATGAAATTAAAAAAAATAATAATGGTTTCCAGTGAAAAGAACCTAAGTTATACAGTGTAAGTGGTTGTGATTTAAACGATGCAATGTCTTTACACCATGTGTACTCAATCAAGTTAATTTCATCGCAGATGTTTACTTGGCATATGAGAGTTATTTAAAGCATTAATTTTCTTCTATTCTGGTCCTTGTGCCTTCTTAGCACTCTCCACGGTAAGAAATGTTCATTTTCCACGGCTGGCCAAACTGAAAATGGTATTTTCTTATATAGTCTACCAAAGCTATCCGTCCTCATTATGCCTAAACAATGCAAAAGGTAAAGTGCATGGATAAATAAACCAGAACGTAAGTAAAACAGGGAAACGTACCTTGTAACTTTTGGCACCAGAAAGTCTTTTTTCCTTCAACAAAGCTTCTTGTAGTCCCAGTGGAAAGTACTTCACATTTCGTCCCGCCCAAATTGCTTCAATGTTGGCTACAGACCCCCCAGCGGTGAGATGTCCCATACATTTGTCCCTGTCATACCCCACCATGACGCACAGGTCTTTGCCCACTTCCATTTCGTATTTACTTGTGACAGGAGAGGATTCTGATGCGCAGTTGTTTTGGTTGTACAACATTGCAGACATGTAGCCAAGGTTAGCTGGCATCGCTGTCTCCCATTGAACGTGGCCCTGAGGAGAAGAAGTACGGGTTGTTATATTAGTTCGTTAATCAGTTGTTTTATGTTAGTTTATATTCTATTTACTGTATAGTAGTGTCTTCACTGTTATTTAGTCCATCTATATATAAATCTTGTTTTGTAATATGTCTTCAGCTCCCCCCGCCTCGATTAGTTCATAAGCTCAGTTTGCAGGTGGGAAAGTAATGTAATTAGTTATTTTCCATTTTTCAATAAAATTTGTTGTTGTTGTTGTTGTTGTTGTTGTTACATAATCATAAACAAAGGCGTAGATGTAAAGCTATATATTCTTATAATATGTCAGGGCCAAAGTTTAAAAGGGTTAATAGTTTATTAGCCTTAGCCTATGGCTATTAAGTGTGCTACAGGTTCTTTAAATAAAGTCTGTACTTACTTACGTACCTATACTTATTTGTTATTATTATTATGGCCTCTTGTTATTATTATTATTATTATTATTATTATTATTATTATTATTATTAATGTTATATGAATTATTAGTATTAATATTATATGTATAGTATTATATGAATATTATTAAAACTCTGGACCACCTGCAAGAATCATTGATCGCCTCTGAGCCGTCAGGAATGTATTTGTTATTCGTTATTGACACAGTGATTGTATTTTTATGATTTATATAATTCTTATTGTTATACAGTGCTTAATTCTTACTTCAAATATTTCTGTAAATTATGTACACATTTTTAAAGTTGAATAAAATTATTTTATTATTATCCTTGTTATTATTATTATAATTGTTGTTATTATTATTATTATTATTATTATTATTGTTGTCTCAGAGGAACCAGGAGAAAGAGAAGAGCAGTCAATATATCTGAATTGACATTACATCGGAAAGTGCGCAAGCCAGAATTTAAGTAGTAACTTTCTATCAGTTTGAATTATTTTTACATAGTTTTATTTTTTTATTAACTTTTAGATGCTTTTTATAATTGTTATTAGTAGTTTTTAGATAGTCATTTTACGACAATTCTCTTTCGTACACAAGAAGAATGTACATAGGGTATATATTTTAATATTCATATTCTTGAATCTGTAATTAATCTATTTTTTTGAATCTATGAATAAAGTTATATTATTATCATTTAAAAAAGAAATTATTATTATTATTATTATCACTTGTTATTTGACTTGTTTACTTTTTAATATCAGAGACGGATAATTCTCTTTTGTAATGACTTAATTTAAATCTCTGGACTGCCTGCAAGAGTTCTTGACCGCATCAGAGCCGCAAGGAATGTATTTGGGAAATCGTTATAAATTGACACAGTGATTATTTTTTTTAAGATAAAAATAATTCTTATTTTTATATAGTGCTTAATTCTTACTTCAAACATTTTTCTGTAAATTACGTACATATTTTTAAAGTTGAATAAAATATTATAAGTAGCAGCACTAGTAGTAGTATCAATTGTCATTTTCAAGATCTTTGCTGTTATCATTACCATTATCATTATCATTGTCATCATCATATCATTATCGTTATAATGGTCATTATCATTATTATCATTATCTTTATCATTATTATTATCATTAACTTTATGTGCCATGTGACATTAAGAATGTTGATATCGACGTCGAAGTTGCTGAAGGAGCCATTAACTCGGACTATTGATGTGTTTCCTTACTTCATATATACATTTTTATTTCATTATTATTATTATTTTTTTGTTTTGTTTTCAGCAGTTGAAAGAAACTTTTGAATTTTAGAGGTTGACAGTTTTTTTTTTTTTTATTGAAATGAAATGCTTTTAATTCGAAAAAATTTTTCTTAGTTAAATTAACTTTTTTAAAGCTAAATTAAGTACTTTTTAAATCGACAGGAATTGTAAATAGTGTTTTTGAATGAATAGTTTTTTCTTTTTTAAGCGAATCAATTTTAAATAGGATTTTAATAGTTAGCATTGTATTTAAAATTAACTTTATCATTATCATTATCATTCTCACCGTCATTATCAATATCATTGTCTTTATCTTTATCTTTATCCTGATTATTACCATCATTATCATTATCTTTATCTTTATTATTATAATTATTATTATTCTTAACTTTATCATTATCATTATCACTGTAATTATCATTATCATGGCTTTGTTTTTATTTTTATCTTTTTCGTTATCTTTATTTTTGTCATTATCGCTTTGTTGCTATCATTATTTTTCACGAGGAAAAACGAAATGAATAGATGAATTGATGCTTGAAAAGTAATTAATTCTTGATGCCTTTACCTTGTATCTTGAACTGAAGAATGGAACAGACTTTTTTAATTCGGCCTGCAATTTTTCCATCTCAGTTTTTAACTTCTCCATGGCAAAGTTGAAAGATCCTGCTTCTCGAAGCTGGTCAGTGACGTAAGGGGGATCACAGGGAAAGTAACTGTTGAACACAAAGGACAATTATTGGATGAGGTGAGTATGAAATGAATAAATGTGATACTTTTGTGGTGTGAAGTCATTTTTCTGTGAGCACACGACTCTTAATTTTTTGAGATAGCTTAAGAGCTCTTTGTAATTAGAGACAAGGATGATTACGAGCTGACGAGATTTTCTTAATACTAAGTAGTGAGAGTGCGTGAACCAGCGTCGTTTCTGCGGGAAACGCGGTAGCCGTCTTAATTAGAATGAAAGGCGTGTCTATATTTGCTTAAAATACCAGTTTCAGAGAGTCCCCTACGGCTTCCTTTGTCCCCTTTCCGTTTTGTGAGACCTCTGTACGTAGGCTTTTGGAGTAATGACCAAAGCTTACAAATAAGCCATTTTCGATGATAATTTTAATGATCATGCTTCTTGTTTTGACAATTTCAAATAACTATAGAAGTGATTAATTACAAGAAAAAATTCAAGCCTGTAAGAGAAATAAATTCCCCATGTAAGAAAAATAAATGAAGACAACACATTATAGCCTGATTATTATTGACCACCTTACATGTGTGCTCCTGTACTTTAAATTACCTGTGACGGAATCCGATATGCGAATCGACAGCCTTCGTCAAGAGGTCCCGAAACACTTCCCCATTTTCTCCTTTGGGTCCCAAAAACCAAGCACCAAGGGATGCCCATTGTTTTTGCCTGTCGGTCAAGTGATCCCCATTTACAAGAGCTTTTCTTTGCTGCAATTCCATCGGTACTTTCGACTAGTGCGCTTGCGATCCTCTTCTCGAAAACAGTTTTCCCCAAAGTCTAAGTATCCTTGCAAAGAGAAGAAGACGTCTTTATGTAAACTAATTAGCAAAAAGCTCTTTGTATCTGAGAATGATAACCGTGACGACTTAGATAGAAAAAAAAAAGTAAATAAAGAAATAATAAACTGTACATTTGGTCATAGCACTGGTAATAATACCTGGGTAAAAATACTAAGAGCAAATCCCTGAGGAATGGGTATTTTTATTGATGCATTAATTTATCATGATTTATTTATTTTCTATTTCTCGATTGCTTTGTTCGTTAGTTTTGCATAGATTTTGACTGAAGAATAATTTCGTTTCGATGGTTATCGAAACAGGAAGTTTTTATAAAGACCCATCAATATTTTCATAAATTGCAAGTAAGTCATTCGCAAAGGGTGACTGGTTGCTGAAATAGAAGTTTTTTTTCCCCTACGACTCCAAAAGATTTTTGCCTTCTTCTTTCCTCACCACTTACCCACTTACAATGATCGAATAAATCATATTCCTCCCTTGTGGGGCGACAACAATAGGACGTTATAGAGTGCAAATAAACTGTATCGGACCACATGAAACACTGCTCAGTCTGTAATTTGCCAAGTCATTCAATTAAGTCAGGCGCGATAATAGGTTTGTCAAAAAATCTTCAAAATAAAGCTAAGATTCTGATACTTTCTGACCATGCAGTTGACGTTTATTACAAATTTCATTTGAATTGTTAATGAGGGTTGTATGGGTTTCAGTTAAGTCTTGCTCCGCTGAATAGAGCAACAATAGAAAAACCTTAATTTATATGTACATTTTCTAAGGAACGTTGATGCGTAGATTTAAAAGTAGCTTCTTTTTTACCCCATTAACATTTTGATTTCAAGGACGCTTGCTTACAGCAGCGTTTAACAATACATGTAGTTCTATAAAAGCTGTAAATATGGGTTTAATATTAATTTTTAATTTTTTAATTACGGAACAAAATGCATTACACCTCCACCTTTTATGATATATCTTGCAGTTCAATCAATATCCTTAAGTTTAGATAAGTTTCGGGTACATGCTTTTCAAATTTTGTAATAAATTTAGTTATTGTCAAGCATCACTGTCATCATCTTTCTGAATCATTTCGATATATGAAAGCTAAGGCGATGGGAAATACACTCAGAATGTTGGATATTAGTGACTACTATGAGTTATACATAATATAACTGATAACTTGAAAGATAGCTTGATTACATAATTAAGATACATAAGCTTGAAACCAAAAAATGCATTCCCGACAACCCCCCCCCACCCCCCCTTTACAGGCACTTTGTTCATCAGACAGTACGTTATGAAATCCGTTTTTTTAGTCCTTGTTGTTTATTTTTGAATCAAGATTAGAAATAAATTGACATTCTAGACCATCTGTGCCCTTAAATGAGACCAGAATTAAATTCACAAACTTTGTAAAAAGCTTAAAGTCATCAACAACAAAAGGTTATTGTATTTATTTATTTATTTATTAATTCGCAATAAGCAAAAGAAGCACAGGACAGCTTTGGGTTGTTGGGTACGTAACCCTCGTAATAAAAATTTCCCACTTAGCTAACAAGTGGTCCTCAAAAAAAGTATCGAAGATAACAAGATATGCATGTTATACTTTGCAGTTTACTCTATGTTTCACATCAACTTAGAAATTGTGGTACTTTGGTTATTTATTTAATAAAAAAAATACCTGTAAGCATTATTGAAATGTACACTCGCCTCTTACCTTTTAGAGTTTTCCGAGGACCCTCTGGCTTCAAAGAAGCTTCCTTAACTTTAGTAACATTAAGTTGATGGATGAATTTATATGCATGATTGAAGGTATGGTTACTCAGCAGTTAACGTCAGTTTTACTTGGACTCAGTTTCGGGTCGCTACCATTTTCGACCCTCTTGAGATAATTTTTACTCGATATTGAACCTGTTTCTAATTATAGGAAAGAAGTTCCGGCAACCCAGAATAGAACCCGGTCTTTTGGTGTTTTAAGTCTCTCTACTTTATTGCTGCACTTCCACACCGATCGGCCAAATGTTAGAAATATTTAAATACATGTCATAATAAACTATCTCAGAACTCTAAATGTCACAGTTATAACTGGTGACCATTTGTTCCTTTGCCTAACTCTTAACATAAACTCAATATGGGCTAAAACTTCCTTCTTTCTAGGAATAGTTAAAAATATGGCTTTTGCCTTTTAGGCCTGTCTGGCATTCTGCCTTAGTGAGTAAACACAATGAGACAAGGTAGACACTTGAGTGGAAATTTTCTTAATATACAAAATTACTGTATTTTGCCACCTGAAGCCTAGCTAAGTTCGCTCGAGGGGGCTGTATCGACGTCAATATTGTTTTGTTCAATTTGTATAAATGAACAATTAGTTCATGCGTCAGCGTGCGTATGTCGAGATATTGAGCACGCGGGAAGTTTCGAGAGCACGAAAGGGGCGTAAGAGTTGCGCCTCGTGCAACTCTAGCCTCTTGAGTGCTGTCCAAACTTCCCAAGTGCTCAATATCTCGACATACGCACAAGTGCAGCATGAAATAATTGTTTTATAACATTATCAAAGCGATCAATGCAGCAGTTAATTTAAAATTTTATTATTGTAGGGCGCGCTCAAAGCAGTACGCGTCAATGTTTACGTGACTATGTTTTTTTTTTCACAGTTAATTAAGCTTATGTTTTTATCCTGAAACTGAGAGAAAGTCTACTCTAAAATGATTGTAAAATCCATATTTAGGTGCCGGAAAACTATTAATTCACCGAAAAATTGTTATTGAGAGAAAACAACATTGCAAAGAACGAGCTCACGCCATAGTCCGCACAGCTCGCAACAACTTTAAAACAACACTCACCTCCTTTCCTTACTATCGTTTAGCAAATTCAAACGTTTGCTCTTATATTTCCTTATAAAACACATGGTAAACGCTTCATCGTGTACTTCTGAGTGCACTCAGGAGACTCAGGATTGCTAAGCTCACATTAACAACTCGAGGAATTACGAATAGTTTATTGACCTCATCAGCGTGCTCAATAGGAATATGAAGCACGCTCGCGCTATTGAATTTGATTAGGCGAATTTTCTAGCTATGTTATAATGCCATACTGCGTGTCTGTGTTCGCAATGGAACTTAAGAATTGCTTAATGGCAAAATCACAACGTCGTAACGAAAGCTGGGAATTTCGACTTCAATCCCATGCTTGAGTAAAAGGTCATCCTCGCTTCCAGTCCTACTCTGTCTGAAAGACCATCAAGCTGCACTACCTGTAGAAAACGAAAAAAAAAAAGGGAAAACAAGGAATTTTTATTGTCTGCATGTCCAATCTGTTATTCGCGAAATCTTAAAATGATGATGATGATGATGATGATGATGATGAGGATAATGATAATAATAATAATAATGAAAATGACTGAATGATAATGAGTTGGTATGAGTTCCTTAGCCGAGCACCATTACCTCAAAAAAGTCGGGGCTCTTGGTAGGGATGTGAAACAAAAATACTTTTTTCCTGTCACCGTATAGTACATAAAGTAGGAACTCACTGTGCTCAGGGAATTCGTGCTTGTCAAAATGCTCGTAACGAAGAACGTCGATGATCTTCGTCTAGTACTTCATTAGCCATTGTATACCAGTTAACATGAACATCAAGGCGCTCCGTTCTACTTGAAAGAAAATGCACGAGGTCTTCCTTTATAACCAGGAGAGAATAATCTACTATTCCTTACAATTATAATCTAGATTATTCTCTGTTGTTTATAACTAAAGGCTCGTGGTCGGCGAATTAGGCTAGCTGCTAACTTTTACCCACACTAGTCTTTTTCAAAAGTAGGTTGAGTTTGATCGTCCGGGTGAACGTAGTCCTGAAAAGCACTGTTGTTGTCGACAGTGACTGCCGTTTTAGCAACCTGTGCGGTAGTCATCTTCAGAGTCAAAGGGAGTTGTATCACGTCAGTCGATGGTTTTATACTCTCGTTATTGATCTGATTGGTCAATTACGTCGCGATGTTGTTGGTCGTCTGTCAGTTAAGCCGTGATATTATTGGCTTTGAAGACTCGTAATCAGTAATTGGTGCGTTTCGATCCCTCTGTTGTCACAGTTAAACAGTCGTCTATTGTGAAAGGTTTGAACCCAGGAGTCATTTCAAAAGGTTGAGTTTGATCGTCCGGGTGAACGTAGTCCTGAATCGGACTGTTGTTGTTGACAGTTACTGACGTTTCGACAACCTGTGTGGTAGTCATCTTCAGAGTCAAAGTGTGTTGTATCACGTCAGTTGATGGTATTATACCCTGGTTATTGATCTGATTGGTCAATTACGTCGCGATGTTATTGGTCGTCTGTCAGTTGAGCCGTGGTTTTATTGGCTATATGAAGACTCGTAATTAATAAGCGATATTGGTGCGTTTCGATCCGCCTATTGTCACAGTTAAACAGTCGTCTATTGTTAGTCAAATTGTCAGTTCTCCAGTTGTTCTCTCGTAGTTAGTTTTGCTTGTTCTCGTCAATAAGTCGTTTGTACGGCGCTGGTAACTGTTGGCTACGATTCAGTGGCGTTTGTTCTAAGTTAGTAAACTAGCTTTCTAAAGTAAGACGTTGATAGTAGTCTGTAGAATACGTTATACATGTCGCAGAGTCCCAGTCAATTTGATGCTTTGTCTTTAAATGTCGTCTATTGTTAGTCAAATTCAGTTCTCCAGTCATCAGAGGCACCCAACGACAATTTTCGGAAAAATATCTGTTCCGAAGACGATTTGAGATCTAGAATTTTCGGAACATTTGTTGTAAAATTTCTTGCTTCCATGCCTCTCCTATGATTTTCAAACAAATAAAAAATGGCATACTTGCCCATTTTTAACTAATTTTTTCCCTAAAAAGTTCACCTAGAATTTTCGGGAGCCATATTCTCTGGCTAAAATTTTCGAAAAGGTAAGTTTTGATCCCTA